GCTGGCACCCCAGGACTGACAAGACTTTACCCACGCTGGCCAGGCACTGGGATGAAAACAGCCCCAGTGTGGAACCCAAGGAGAACTAAGGTCTCACCTGATAGAGGGAGCTGCCTGCAGGGCCCAGGCCTGAATGGGAGGGAAAACAAATGGCCTTTTTGGTGTCTGTGGACATGAAGAGGGGCTAAGTGTAAGCACAGATCTAGGCTTGAGCAGTTTGTCAAGTAAATAAATTATCTGGCTGTAATTGAGAAAGACCATGTTAACCAAAAAGCGACCAAGGCAGCTGTCAATCCATAGAGGTTTATTTTGCCAAGGTTGAGAACACACCCACGAAAACAACCACAAGCCACAGAAACATCCGTGAGCTGTGCTTTTTCCAAAGGGGGTTTGGGGAACGGCAATATTTAAAAAGGCAAGGGCAAGCAGGAGGGAAAAGACGGGGGAGGGAGACAGTGAGGCAGACGCTCGCATTCTTGTGAGGCTCTGAGTCTCAGTAAATCTACATTTTACACGTCAGAAAGCAAGCAGAGGAAAAGTCAATTATGCATTTGTCTCAGGGATGATTTCTGGTCTTTGTCCTCTCTGTGAGGATCAGCTGGTAATTGACATCGTCAGGGTGAGATCCAAAAAACTTGTTTCAGGGCTAGTTTAGAGGGGGTGGATGTAGCCTGAAAGATCTAGCTGCTCACAAGGAATTTCCAGGTGAGCGCTTTGGGAGGGAGGCCATCTGGGGAGATGTGTGGCCTTCTGTGGTTGTGGGATCCTGGCTTACGGATGAGGCTGTAACACAGGGTTGTGACATTGCAGCTGTCTATCTGGGAAGGAAAGGAAGGCAGTATCACACAGTTCCCAGGCCAAACCTTCCCTCTGGCATAGTGACTTTTGGTCCTGAGAGTCTATTTTCTTTCACAACCAGCTGCAGGGCTGTCACAAGGCGGACAAACAGGATTAATGGAAAGTCAACAGGGTGCCATCGGGATGTGATGCGAATCTTCCTTGCCCAGTGTAGACCAGCACGTGCGGCTAGTGACGACCCTGCTACAGGGTTAGTGCACCTGGGGAGGCCAACTTTTCATTTCATTTTAATTCATTTAAATTAAAAAACTGAAGCAATGTAAAATACTCCTCCTGGGCCAGACACCGTGGCTCATGCCTGTAATCCCAGCACTTTGGGAGGCCGAGGTGGGCGGATCACTTGAGGTCACTTGAGACCAGCCTGGCTAACATAGTGAAACCCCGTCTCTACTAAAAATACAAAAATTAGCCAGGCGTGGTGGTGGGCACCTGTAATCCCAGCTGCTCGGGAGGCTGAGGCAGAAGAATCACTTGAACCTGGGAGGCGGAGGTTGTAGTGAGCCGAGATCGCACCACTCCACTCCAACCTGAGCGACAGAGCAAGACTCTGTCTCAAAACAAACGAACAAACAAACAAACAAAAAACTTCTCCTGAAAAACACAAGAAAAAAATATTGAGGAAAGCTCTGTTGATCCCACCACACTTGGAGCTCTCTGTTCAGTGTGTGCTAGACCCTCTGACCTCAGTGCTGTCAGCACCAGAATGACAGTGACACAAAAGTGACACAAAAGTGAACGTGTTATATTAATCACAAGTTCACTTAATTTAGATTGACGTCGTTTTGAAATGGATACGCTTTTGCTTCAAAGTCAAATCAATTCTTCTAAAACAAATGAACCAGTTTTGTCAATGTGGGAGGTGAACTGTAAAGGAAATGATATTTGATGCTAGACTCAGTTATCAGAAAACTTAAATATGTAAACCTACTTTCTCAACTATAAATTTTGTGAAATCTAAACACAAATCAAGCACTTTTTTTTTTTTTTTTTTTTTTTTTTGACAGGGTCTTGTTCTGTGGCCCAGGCTGGAGTGCAATGGCACCATCTCAGCTCACTGCAACCTCCACCTCTGGGTTTAAGCGATTCTCCTGCCTCAGCCTCCCCCAAGCAGGATTACAGGTACCCACCACCATGCCTCACTAATTTTTGCATTTTTATTGGAGACAGGGTTTCACCATATTGGCCAGGCTGATCTTGAACTCCTGACCTCAAGTGATCCACCCGCCTCAGACTCCCGAAGTGCTGGGATTACAGGCATGAGCCACTGGCCAAATCAAGTACTTCCGATGAAGTTAGTATCCAAACTGAGATATGTGTAAGCAGAAAATACACATCAGATGTCAAAGATAGAGGACAAAAAAAAAATACAAAATACCTCACTCATGATTCGTTATATTAATTACAAGCTGATGGAACATTTGTGATAAACTGGGCTAACATGTATTATTAAAATTAACTTCACTTATGTCTCTTTTTTTAATGGGGCTATGAGAAAATTTAAAATTATATACATGGGGAAAAAAGCTAAAGTTGCCATTTTTTCCCTTTACCTTCATTTATCTGCTTGTCTAATAGACACTGAAGAACAAATCTTTTTAAAGAAGTACGTGTGTGACTTACATTATACTTCCATCTGCAGTGCTGGTTCAGACCACCAGGACATTTGACCAAAGGACTCAGCAGAGAGAAGGCTGCCCAGGCCCCAAGCTCACCATCAAGGATACAGCCACAACCTTGGTTCATTCTCGCACGAATTTTAGACCCTCCCATCTGTGTTGAAGACTCGGGCTACTGTCTACATGCTCACCGATACCAATCCAGGGCAAAAGCCCAGCACATCTCAGGGGTTTCCTGGGAGGCCAGATGAATGCGTGAGGCCTCCTGGGAGCAGCCCTCAGCAGGCAATCGCTTTGGCCTGCAGGGGTCCACAACTAAGTGTTCACAGCAGACCAGCCCTGTTCAGGCTTGGATTCTCTCAACATTAGGCAAAAGGTCTCCTCATACCCATTTGACAGATGCAAAAACTGAGGCTCAGGAAGGTCAAGTTTGGGGAATTCTTTTAATTTTATGTTTCCTGAGCATCCATTTGATTGTAAGTTGGACTTCCTCATACTAGAAGCAGAGATTAGTAACACAGTTTCTAGTTATCCAGCTTCTCCCAGTTCCTCGAGGTGGTGAATCCAGACATCTGCCTCATAAAACCGCCTCCTGGGACCACCTCCTCATGGACAGCTGGATACCACCTGCTTGACTTGTCCCACTGCCCCCCACACCCACATGGGCCGTGCTGATATCCTACCCACACCGACTCCTCTCAGTCACAGCACGAATCCCTGGGCTCATGCCCGCTTGCTCTAAACCCCCCAATTAGAACCTCCATGGGAAACCTGCTTAGATAGCACCCTGGGCTCCAGTAAAAGCTTTGGCTCACAACTCCCTCTCTCTCTCTCGTTCTCCACCTTTTGGTTGAGCCCACGTGTCCTGGATGGCTCCCCCTTTTTGCTGGGCCTGCAAAGCGTGCTGCCCTCTGTTCTCTGGATCTCTAAGCAATAAACTGCTTCTGTCATTTCATGGTTCTTATGAGCTGCCTCCTCTACCCCATCCTAACTTCTTTCCTGGTCAGGGGTCTCCGGGAGAGTGGCTGTCTCAGTAGGAATAAACTGGACACAGGTCAGATGAGAGCCACAAGGGCACGTGCCAGGATAAACAAGCTTCCCGTGAGAGGGACACCTGGCCACAGGTTGGACACTTAGGTATCAGGTCGTCTGCCAGGACAAAGAAAGATCCCATGAAAGGCACATGGGAAACACCCACGACCACATCCCCAGAATCCCCATCAGGGCAGGGCTAGACTTTACAGCCACTCTCTCCTGAGAAGGACGTCAATACAAAATTAGGGAAAAAATGACAACATCAAGTCACTTGCCCGAAGTCACACGCACGCACCCCGCAGGTGCAGGTGCAGACTCTCTCGCCGGCTCTCCCCTTTATGCTACCACCAGAAACACAGGAGAGATTTCTGAGGTAGCCTCAGGCCCTGCGACGGAAAAATGCCAGTGCTTGGAAATCCACTGCCTAGGAGACAGTGGCTGGGTGACAACTCTAGCCCCCCGTTTTCTGCTATCTTTTTAAAAATGCTACAAATACAAAAATTCAAAAAATTAGTTTATTAGATTAATATAATTAGGTCAATGCAATCCTGTTTTGATCTCAATACTTCCCATATTGCAATATATAAATGTGTCAAATTCAGATGTTTTGTGGCATAGATAAGTGTCTAAGCTGGGTGGTGGTCTACCCCAGTTTATAGTTCATGTTCTTCATGGCTTTGCAGCATTTGTCACTTTCTATGATGTGTTCAAAGACCAGAAAACACCACACTTGAGCTGTCAGCTGGTCCTTGAACAGCTGTAGGTTTGTTTTTTGTTTTTTTGAGATTTCTGAGACAGAGTCTCACTCTGTCACCCAGGCTGGAGTGCAGTGGCGCAATCTCGACTCACTGCAACCTCTGCCTCCGGGTTCAAGTGATTCTCCTGCCTCAGCCTCCCGAGTAGCTGGGATTACACACCACCACGCCCGGCTAATTTTTGTATTTTTAGTAGAGATGGGATTTCACCATGTTGACCAGGCTGGTCTTGAACTCCTGACCTCAAGTGATCCACCTGCCTCGGCCTCCCAAAGTGCTGGGATTACAGGCGTGAGCCACTGCACCCAGCCTGTAGGTTTTAACTAATAATTAGGGTATTACTCTATCATTCAAATTCTCCAGGTACTGACCTGGGTTTTATTTTATTTATTTATTTATTTATTTACTTATTTATTTTTGAGACAGGGTCTCACTCTGTTGCCTAGGCTGGAGTACAGTGGTGACATGATCTTGAGTCACTGCAGTCTCCACCTCCTGGGTTCTACTGATTCTTGTGCCTCAGTCTGCCAAGTAGCTGGGACTATAGGCGTGCACCACCACACCAAGCTAATTTTTGTATTTTTTGTAGAGATGGGGGTCTCACTATGTTGCCCAGGCTGGTCTCAAACTCCTAACCCCAGGTGATCTGCCCACTTTGGCCTGCCAAAGTGCTGGAATTACAGGCATGAGGCACCGCACCCAATCAGACCTTGTTTTTTTTTGTTTGTTTTTTTTGTTTTGAGACGGAGTCTCCCTCTGTTGCCCAGGCTGGAGTGCAATGGCCAGATCTCAGCTCACTGCAAGCTCCGCCTCCTGGGTTTACACCATTCTCCTGCCTCAGCCTCCCGAGTAGCTGGGACTACAGGCGCCCGCCACCTCGCCCGGCTAGTTTTTTGTATTTTTTAGTAGAGACGGGGTTTCGCCGTGTTAGCCAGGATGGTCTCGATCTTCTGACCTCGTGATCCGCCCGTCTCGGCCTCCCAAAGTGCTGGGATTACAGGCTTGAGCCACCGCGCCCGGCCCAGGCCTTGTTTTTAAATTATGATTTGAGGTACATGTTAAAAATCAAATCATTTCATGCATTATTTCCTACTGAATTTGTGTTTCAAATGAAATAATGAATTTTAGGATTCCTACATTTATTTTATAAAAGTGAAAATTAAATGATCTAAGTATTTCCAAGCAAATTTTGGGATGAAAGCTATTCTAGGAAGGCTTGCCCTTGATTCTTGCTACATGTACTTGTTCAGCCACTCGATTAAATTCCTTCTCGCCTCATCAATGTAGGGCTTGTCTGCAGGTGAGCAATCTTCTCTCTTCCGATGCACGAACCCATGAGTCTGCCCAGAAAATGTTTTAATTTGATATTCAACTTTGCAGTGTTCTTTCAACTTCTGGGTCAGCAGAGATACCTGGTGTGCAAAAGATTTCATGATTTTAACCCTTTAGTGGCACTTTCCATTCTCCAAATCTTCAGTGACTGCTCATAACAGAAATTTAACATCAATGCTTTAAATTAGAAACAAGTTCCACAGTTACATTGAATTCTTTCCCGCTAATTTTTTTCTTTTTAGACAGGGTCTCACTCTGTTGCCCAGGTTGTAGTTCAGAGGCACCATCTCGGCTCACTGCAACCTCTACCTCCCAGGTTCAAGTGATTCTCCTGCCTCAGCCTCCGGAGAAGCTGGGATGACAGGCACATGCCACCATGCCCAGCTAAATTTTGTATTTTTAGTAGAAACAGGGTTTCACCATGTTGACCAGGCTAGTCTCAAACTCCTGACCTCAGGTGATCTGCCTGCCTCAGCCTCCCAACGTGTTGGGATTACAGGCGTGAGCCACTGCACCCGGCCTTTACTGCTAATTTTATAACTAACACAGTTCTTATGTCTGGCAAAGGAGAGATTTCAGAGCAATGTAAAAATGATCCATCTATTATGTGAAATCATTTGCATTAATGTATTAGTTACTAATATTATAAAATAATTTCTAAATGACTACTTTTTTTTCTTAGAGTCAGGGTCTCACTCTGTCGCCCAGGCTGGAGTACAGTGGCACAATTGTGGCTCACTGCAACCTTCAACTCCTGTGCTCAAGCAATCTCCCTGCCTCAGGCTCCCAAATAGCTGGGACTATAGATGTGTGCCACCACCGCAGCTGATTTGCTTATATTTTTGTAGAGAAGGGATCTAGCTAGATTGCCTGACCTAGTCTCAAACTCTCAGCGTCAATCAATCCTCCCACCTCAGCCTCCTGAGTTGCTGGGATTACAGGCATGAGCCACCACGCCCAGCTAACTGACTACTTTTGAACCATACTTTTCTTCTGCTTTTTCCTTATCAACTGACTGTGTTTAATAAATCCTTGTCTTTAAGATCATAGACTTTACGGCAATTTGTGGGTTAGCATGGAGCAGGGCAAGAGGTCCTGTTTCTCCACCAGGTAATCAGGCCATGCTGAGAATACCTCCCTCAGACATTTCCTTAAGCATGTTTTGGGAACGTCACACTTCCACAGTGGAATTATATAAGTGGAATTGAATAAAACCCATCTTTAAAATGGTAATGTTGGAAATATTTGGAGCAACAAATGTATCCTTCAAGACTTCCCACTCCCGGCAGAATGTCAAATCATGCTACTAAATATACAAATGGTGCCGGGCGAGGTGGCTCATGCCTATAATCCCAGCACTTCGAGAGGCCAAGGCGGGCAGATCACCTGAAGTCAGGAGTTCAAGACCAGCCTGGTCAACATGGTGAAACCCTCTCTCTACCGAAAATACAAAAATCAGCCAGGCGTGGTGGCGGCGCCTGTAGTCCCAGCTACTCGGGAGGCTGAGGCACAAGAATGGCTTGAACCTGGAAGGCGGAGGCTGCAGTGAGTCAAGTTCACACCACTGCACCCCAGCCTGGGCGACAGAGCAAGACCCTGTCTCAAAACAAATAAATACGAAGAAAAAAGATGCCAACTTACATTCTCGAGTGGAATCACAACATCATTTTCAGCAAAAATGAACAAGGTGGGGTTCTTTAAATTGTAAATGCCTTCAGAATCCTTGACGATGCCTGAAAAACGAGCACAGAGGCATGATGTATGACCCCCACACTCATGCCACAGAAAACTACCGCATTTGGGTTTGATTTTTCAAAGTAAAATCTCTGCTTTGGGGCTCTATTTCCTTTTTCAGTCATTCCACAGAAGTGGCCCAACTTACAAGATTAGCGAAAAGAAGGCCGGGCACAGTGGCTCATGCCTGTAATCCCAGCACTTTGGGAGGCTGAGGCAGGTGGATGGCTTGGGCCCAGGAGTTTGAGAGCAGCCTGGGTAACATCGCAAAACCCTGTCTCTACAAAAAATACAAAAATAAGCCAGGTGTGGTGGTGCATGCCAGTAGTCTCAGCTACTCAGGGGGACGAATGTGGGCGGATCACTTGAGCCTGGAAAGTTGAGGCTGCAGTGAGCCATGTTTGTGCCACTGTACTCCAGCTTGGGCAACAAAGTGAGACCCTGTCTTAAAAAATAATAAAATAAAAAATAAATAAATAAACAAATACAAAAAAACCCAAAGGCTGGGCGTGGTGGCTCAAGCCCCTAATCCCAGCACTCTGGGAGGTCAAAGAGGGTGGATCATGAGGTCAGGAGTCCGAGACCAGCCTGGCCAACATGGTGAAACCCTGTCTCTACTAAAAATACAAAAACTAGCCGGGTGTGGTGGCAGGCACCTGCAATCCCAGCTACTTGGGAGGCTGAGGTAGGAGAATTGCTTGAACCCGGGAGGTGGAGGTTGCAGTGAGCCGAGATCATGCCATTGCACTCCAGCTCTGGGCGACCAGAGCAAGACTCCGTCTCGGAGGAAAAAAAAAAAAAGGATTATAATAGTACAAGAGAAATGTATTTAGTCAGATCTTCCTACTCTCTACCTCCCCACTTTATGGACTAGGAATCAGGCCATTAAATAATTGAACGAGACCTCGTCTGCATCTGCTGCTTTAATATGGAAAGATGCCGGAGCAGCCTGAGGAATGCTCCCGCTGGGATCTACCTTCATTTACAAACAGGACCATTTTCAAACCTTTGCTTGAGAAGTTTCTCAGGTCTACACAAGCCCCACAGGTTCTGGCTTGAATGCACTGAGTAGTTTTGTTTGTAAGAGGAGCTGTCATTTGAATGGGTATTTAGATTTGCACCAGACCACGAGTGTGCAAGTGTGAAACTGCCTGGGCCTAGCAGGTCAGTCTATAAAAATCAGGTTTTGGTTGGGCAAGGTGGTCCACACCTGTAATCCCAGCACTTTGGGAGGCCAAGGCGGGTGGATCACTTGAGGTCAGGAATTCGAGACCAGCCTGGCCACCAATGCAAAACCCTGTCTCTACTAAAAATACAAAATTAGCTGGATGTGGTAGCCCCAGCTACTCAGGAGGCTGAGGCAGAAGAATTGCTTGGACCCAGGAGGTGAAGGTTCAGTGAGCCAAGATCGTGCCACTGCACTCCGGCCTGGGTGACAGCAAGATGCTGTCTCAAAAAATAACAATAATAGTTTTCATCTTTCATCTCAGCATTCGAGATTAATTCTGAAATGAGAAGCATGCTCTGCCTGACCCAGGCTGTCTGAAAACAACCTGTGGGTGTGTCCAATTCTATGGGAAAAGAAGTATGCAAAAGATTTGCAGCAAGTTACCATTTTAAGATAAGAGGTAAATAATACAACTTTTTTTCCACTTCCTGCTGGCAGCACAGAAGAGCTAAGTAACAGAGAGAGCCTCCTTCACCTGTAACTCCTCTTTAGGAGGCAGGGAGCCACGGGAAAGGTGGCCGCGCCCCCTTCCTCACTCTGGCAAAGCTACTTCTGCGAATGGGCCTCTTTTGATATCCTGAGCCTGAGCCCGGCCACGCTCGGCAGCTCACGCACTGCACAACAGCGGCCAGAAGGTGGCGCCGGGGAGGCATCCGCTCCTTGACCGCCTTTTGCTAAATGCGCAAAAGCATGGTCTAGACAAAGCATCTCTCAGCTCCTTTGTTCCCAGAGGCAGCTGGCCACTGACTTGAGTTTATGTCCTTTTGTGTTGTCCTAAGTCAATATTTAAAGGGTTTTTTAATGCTAAAAGTAGTTGAAAATACCACAGTGAGGAACCATTAAGCCAAGAAAGAATCATTAGTATAACTTTATGATCCACTTCAGATGGTCCCAGGCCTAACGATGGTTCCACTTGCCATTTTTTGACTTTACAATGGTGCACAAGCGACACCCATTCAGTAGAAACTGTACTCCAAGTACCCAGACAACCATTCTGTTTTTCACTTTCAGTACAGAATTCAATAAACTGCATGAGATATTCAAGACTTTACTATAAAATAGGCCCTGTGTTAGATGACTTTGCCCAACTGTAGTCAGATGCAGGTGTTTCGGGCAGGCCAGGTGAGGCTATGATATTTGGTAGGTGAGGTGGATTAATGCATTTTCGACTTGGGATATTTTCAATTTACGATGGGTTTATCAGGACTTAGCCCCATTGTAAGTAGAGGAGCATCTGCATTATTTTTAAAGGCTATATTTCCTTTGTGTCTTTTTTGTTTCTGTTTATCTATTGGTCTGAATGCTTCTATATCATGAGTTTAGCAAGCATCTTCTATATACAGATATAATGTTATTTCATTGCTGTAATAACTTTGGTTTGTTTTGGCAAAAAATGTATAAATTGCTATTTACATTTTAGAGTGTGTTTTCTTTTGCTGTCTTTTTTTTTTTTTTTTTTAAGAGACAAGGTCTCACTCCCTGTCACCCAGGTTGGAGTACAGTGGTGCATTCATAGCTCACTGCAGCCTCAAACCTCTGGGCTCAAGTGATCCTCCTGCTTCAGCCTCCTGAGAGGCTGGGAGCACAGGCACGTGCCAGTACACGCAAGTAATTTTAATTTTTTTTTTTTTTTTTGACAGAGTCTCACTCGGTTGCCCAGGTTGGAGTGCAGTGGCACAGTCTTGGTTCACTGCAACCTCCACCTCTCGGGTTCAAGCAATTCTCCTGCCTCAGCCTCCTGAATATCGGGGACTACAGGCGCCCGCCACCATGCCCAGCTAATTTTTGTATTTTTAGTAGAGACGGGGTTTCACCATATTGGCCAGGCTGGTCTCGAATTCTTGACGTTGTGATCCACCCACCTTGGCCTCCCAAAGTGCTGGGATTACAGGTGTGAGCCACCACACCAGGCCTTAAAATTTTTTTATAGAGACAAAGTCTCTCTATGTTGCCCAGGCTTGTCTCAAACTCCTGGGCTCAAGCCATCTGCCCATCTTGGACTCCAAAGTGCTAGGATTACAGGTGTGAGCCACCGCGCCTGCCTGCTTTTGCTTTCTTTCTGTCTTTAGTGTGTGTGCATGTTTGTGTACAGTTAGAGCAATTTGTATCTTGGAAAAATCAGTCTTTCTTTCTCTCTCTGTCTCTTTCTTTTTTTTGTTTTTTTTTTTGAGACAGGGTCTTGCTCTGTCGCCCAGGCTGGAGGGCAGTGGCGTGATCATGGCTCACTGCAGCCTTAACCTTCTTGGGCTCAAGCAATTTTCCCACCTCAGCCTCCTGAGTAGCTAGGACTACAGGTGTATGTGACCACGCCCAGCTAATTTTTGTATTTTTTGTAAAGACAGGGCTTTGCCATGTTGCCCAGGCTGGTCTTGAACTCCCGAGCTCAAGCGATCTGCCCGCCTAAGGCTCCCAAACTGTTGGGATTACAGGCATTAGCCACCACCAGAAAAATATTTTCATAGATGTTGCTCATAAAAATCTTGTGTGATATTGATCATGATTACATTTAAAAAAAAATGCTATCCCCTTCATCCTAAGTGAAGAAATGGAGAGCTCAGGTTAGGTGGCTTTTCCAAAGTCACACGATTGGGACCAAGGCCTCTTGACTCCCAGTGACATCCTCTGGTTAACTGCATGACAAACCTCCACCTCTATTTTCAGATTCTTAAAGCCCATTTCCATAAGCTGGGCGGTCTTCACATTATTGGGGGTTGTGTTACACTGGATGGGGAGGCTTCTGATTGCTGTCACTCTTCCAACCCTCCCTTTCGCATGGAGTAAAAATGCACAAGGCAGATTTACCATAGACAGACACCCCTGCTCTGAATTCTGAGTATTTCACCATCAAATGATGGACAGCAGTTCCACCCCAGCAGAATCCCACGACGCCAATTTTCTGGGCATGACACTGTTGTTTCAGATACTTCAAGACAGCACTGATCTCTCTAGAACAGAAAGAAAAAATATTCAAGAATCAGGGTTATTTTGTGAACCCCTCAAAGGGCTGTGCTGATGATAACGGGACTGTATCAGCAACTGTTCTTGAAGTTGCCAAGGATTCTTCTTTTGGGAGCTCTATACCTCTGCCCCGACTGATGCATCATCCCAGCACGTCTTCCTGCCAAGCCCAGCCCTCCTCCAACTGCCTGACAGCTGCAGGCAAGCTGGGCTCTTCCCAAAATACAGATCCAACCAGCTCACTCCCAGCTGAGAGCTGAGCAGTCTTCCACAGCCTCGGGATGAAGGCCACAGCCCACAGCATGGTTTGTAAGAGCCGAGTCCACGACCTGCTCCCTGCAGAGTGCCCCAGTCTTCTCTGTCCCCTGAGTCTCCCAGGAGAAGAGTCTCCTCTCTCCTCTCTCCCATGACCAGCCATAACTATGGGCAGACACCCAGACACTCTCTGACTTCACACATTCACTCTCTCCCCAAAACTCCCCACTCTGCATTGCCAAATTTGGAAAGCCATCAGGACTATTTCAGCCATGAGGGGACCAAGAAGAGTGACCCTTGCCTGGCAAATGATTCATCTGCAAACTGATTGGAACTTAGAACACATTTTCAACTAGAAACAATGTACCAAAGTGGAGGTGGGCTGCACATGTATGTTTATTGCAGCACAATTGCAAAGATATGCAACCTAAGCGCCCATTGACTAATGAGTAGATAAAGAAAATGTGGCATATATACACCATGGACTATTACTCAGCCATAAGAAAGAACAAAATAGTATCTTTTGCAGCAACTTGGATGGAGCTGGAGGCCATTTTTCTAAGAGAAGTAACTCAGGAATGGAAAACCAAATACTGTACGTTCTCACTTATAAGTAGGAGCTAAGCTGTGGGTAGTTCGCAAAGGCACACAGAGTGATATAATGGACTATGGAGACTCAGAAGGGGGAGGGCTAAAAAACTATATATTAGGTAAAATGTACACTACTCAAGTGACAGATGCACTAAAATCTCTCTTTTAATAGATGGTGCTCATAAAAATATTGTTTGATATTGATCATCATCACATAAAGAATGCTATCCTGGCTGGATGTGGTGGCGCATGCCCACAGTGAGACCCCATCTCTATTTTATTTTAAAATTTTTAATTAATTAATTTTTTTTGACGCGATCTTGCTCTGTCCCCCAGGCTGGGGTGCAGTGGCGCGATCTCGGCTCACTGCAACCTCCATCTCCCGGGTTCAAGTGATTCTCATGTCTCAGCCTCCCGAGTAGCTGGGATTACAGGAGTGCATCACGATGCCCAGCTAAGTTTTTTGTTTATTTGTTTGTTTTTTGTATTTTTAGTAGAGACAGGGTTTCACCATGTTGGCCAGGCTGGTCTCAAACTCCTGATCTCAAGTGATCAGCCAGCCTCAGCCTGCCAAAATGCTGGGATTACGGGTTTGAGCCACCATGCTCGGCCTAAAAATTTTAATTAAAAAAAATCCCAGCCTGGCCAACATGGTGAAACCCCGTCTCTACTAAAAATACAAAAATTAGCCAAGCGTGGTGGTGGGAACCTATAATCCCAGCTACTTGGGAGGCTGAGGCAGGAGAATGCCTGAACCTGGGAGGCAGAGGTTGCAGTGAGCTGAGATCGTGCCACTGCTCTCCAGCCTGGGCAACAGAGCAAGACTCCATCTCAAAAAACAAAAAAAAAATTTTTTCTCCTTTGTGCCATGGGAAGGATTCCACTGGCCGTGGAGAAGTCCCACCCTGAGGTAACGAGTACTGTCTGAAAGGTGAAGCCCACCCAGCTCTCACCTCCCTGGGCCGTACCGCATACATGGCCACGTCTGTGGATAACTCACCTATCGATCTGCTGGGCATTTCTTGTTTTCACCCACTCAGGGAAGGTGGACCAGTCGCTAGAGGGGTCCCAAGGCTCTTGCCCTACAAAGAAGTCTGGAACAATGGTTCTGCAAAATATGGACATGAATTGATCTTAGTTTCAGAGTTGCTTGACTCAGTATTTTGCTTGCATTTATTTAAAAACTTGCTACGTTGGTGATTCTGGCTCGGAGAAAAGGAAAAGGAGTGGGTGTGAAGGCCAACTTTGAGCGCGGCAAAGCAGCCACCTGGCACCGGGCCAAGCCATCTTAGGTTTCACAACCGCAGGTGCACAGCGTCTGGCAGCCTGCTGGTAACCCAGGCCTGCAAATGATGAGGCTATCCACAGGGCACACTCCCATGGGATAGGCTGGCATGGCATGTGGGGGCCCCTGGGGGAGTGGGCCTGAGGCGGGTGGTTTTGAGGGCCCCTCCAGCCCCTCTCAGCCAGCCTGGGGGACTCCTGGCCTTTCACATGAGCCTCAGGCCAGAGGGCACACCTGGCTAACATGTCCAGTCACTATGACCAGGCAATTTTCCCAGCCTCCACCCAAGACGCCGGCGAAGCACCATTTCCTATCCAGAGGGTATGTTCTAAGACGGGCAGCAGGGAGCAAAGAAGCGTGGCCCCAGTCCAGGTCGCTCTTCCATGCAAATCAACCCAGAGGGATGAAGCCAACTGTTCCAGTCCAGTCTTGTTTCCCAACTGTTTCCCCAAATAGAACTGCCACCTGGTTGGAGGAACAGGGCTCCCCCTGTAGGGGTAAGAAGAACACTGAAACTGGAGTGAGAAAATCCAAGTTCAAGGCTCAGTACACCCCACGCTGCTGTGTGGCCTTAACGAGCCACGTCACCACTTCTAGCCTCATTTTCTCATCTGACAAATAAACAGCACGCTTGCACTGCACAACCTCAGAGGATTCTCTCGAGGGCAAAAAAAAAAAAAAAAAATGGTGTACATGAGAAAGTGCTTTGTAAAATAGGGGTCTTTCCTTATCTTTTATGTCCTGAACCTTGTTCAAGGACCCGCGGTGAAACAACAGACACAGCAATGCCATTTGATGGGCTGCTTGGGCCGGTGATCTGGGGCAGCCGCAAAGCGCTCTTTATGTCCTGGTTTCCTAATCTGCAAAATGAGAGCAGTAGCAGCTCCTCCCTCAAGGGGCTGCCAGGAGGATTAAGGGCAATAAGCCCAGTCATGCCCTCAGCCCTGGCTCTAGCTGAGCAACCGAAGCTAGCTATTTTATTTCTTTATTTTTTTTTTACTGGGTTTGCCCCTAGAAAGTTAAGTCCCCTCATCTGGGGACGTGAAAAAGGAAAACTTCAAGGAAGGTCTTTTCATTCGGCACTGACTCGGCATCCCACCAGGGTGGACATGATTCCTTTAAGCCAGTTTCTCTTCCTAGAAAAACGAGGTAGGCTCACCCTTGGGTTTCCGTTCACAGAAAGCTTCTCTTTCTGTGAAAACAAAGGAAATCTAGCCGTGCACCAAGCTCAGGGCTTGCTGGGTTGATGCTTCCCGACGCTGGAGAGGAAGGAAGGTTCTAGCTCTCCTCTGCGCTTTTCACCAGGGGCAAATAAGAATCAGCCTTGGTCAAAGGTGACCACGGCCACTTGGCCAGACAAAGAGGTAAACTTGGGGAGGGGAGCAAGGTCTCACCGTGCCACTTCTGAACCCCAGTCTAATTCAGACGGGGCCACGACCGTACGTGTATGGACCAGGAGGAGCCTTGGACATCCTGCCATCCAAAGAGGCCTGTGAAATCTGACACGACGCTGAGCTGCTTGAAGAGCCAAGTCACAGGTCCATTTGGGAGCTGGTGAGCTCGGCCCATGATGTCCAATGCCTACGTCTGGCCAAGGCCCCACAGGGGAAAAGAATTCTCAGTGTCCACCAAGTCTAGAGGCCAGGTACTCCCAGGAGGACACAGGCGGGTGTTTAATTTCCCATGACATTTCCCATCTATCTTCACCGCAGTCAGATAAAGAAGTTTCTGACGTACTTTAGATACTGTAGATTCAGACTGGTGTGGTTTTATTTTTTAAAGGGAACAAAATAAACCACCGAAATTTATATGAATGTAAACAAAGAAACGCAACTTTATACATACGTGTATCCATTTCCTGAGATCATGTCAGCCATATATCTGGTATTGGGCAACTGCCAGCCAAATATGTCTTGAATGACAATCACAGCTTTGCCTGCATCAACGGGGGATTTGGTGACATAAGCCTTGATGTGCTCGATTTGAACCTCGCGGCCTAGCCCTCCATACTCAAGTCTGTGGCCAATGTCACACGGACAAGGATAAGCTTCGTTAGCCATTGCAGAGATTGAAGTTGGGCTATGGAGAGAGAAACAAGAATTATATTCTGAATGCTGCAAATTTAAAGGCTATAAATGGTAAGTAAAGCTCAAATCAAGATTATAGAAAAAAATGCATTTTAACGACATCTATGGTATTATGTAAGAAATCAATGGTAACTTCTGGTTCTGGCCACACAGCAGAGAAAGGCTATAAACACTAGAAATGCCAGACTGAATAATTAAAAAAAAAAAAGAGAGATGAAAGAACTCCTAGGGAAAAGTGACTCTTCAGGGGCCAGGACTGGAGAGGAAACAGAACGCCAGAGTGAGGATGACACCCACAGATGCTGACGGGGTGCAGTGATGTTGGGGGACAGGACCCAACCCAGGAGCACACACTAACAGTCGGGTGCTTAGGATTTTGTGTTGACGTGTGGAATGAGCCTTGGAAGCACATGAGATGGGAATTTGTAAGAGACCCACGCCTGCCATGTGGAGCCCCCAAAGGTTCATGTCTCAGATAAAGGGGCCAAAGCAAAACGAGGACAGCTCCATCTGCCAGGCTCAGCCGTGTGCAAAGAAGCCCATCTCAGTCCAGATTCTGAGTGGAAGGGAAAAAAGAAAGCAATCCTCAAATGTATACCATGCTTGCAAAGTAGGAATACCTCACTGAGACATTAATACAATTGACCCGGGGCCAGTGAAACGCCTGGAACACCAGGCAGAGGCAAATGCAAATCCACTTTACCACAAGACTTCCACAATCCAGGCCAAAAATACCACCCACTGAAGAGCAGCTCATCAGCAAAAACGATACACAAGGAGGCGATCCAAATAAACAAGATTCAGTAGACATAATACCTGGGAGGAATTTCCGGTGGGAATGGGGTTTGAAATTCACCTGGAAACACTTGGTGAATCAAAATAGAAAACAGGAAGCAATTAGGAAATTAAAAACCTGTTCGTTAAAAAGCATGAAGTGATGCGGCGAAAGTGGGAAAGGAGTAGAACAAGGAATTATGATTTGTAAATGACTGAGATAACTCGCTGCCAGCAGGCCTGCCTACATTTAAGTAAATGGAAACAGATTAAACTCACTAGCTGAGACAGATTCTCAACTTGGATTTGTTTCGTTTGTTTTTTTTTTTTTTTTTTTTTTTTTTTTTTTTTTTTTTTTTTGAGACAGAGTCTTGCTCTGTCACCAGGCTGGTGCAGTGGCCGGATCTCAGCTCACTGCAAGCTCCGCCTCCCGGTTTAGACCATTCTCCTGCCTCACTCCGAGTACTGGACTACAGGCGCCCCACCTCGCCGGCTAGTTTTTGTATTTTAAGTAGAGACGGGTTTCACCGTGTTAGCAGGATGTCTCGATCTCCTGACCTCGTGATCCGCCGTCTCGCCTCCAAAGTGCTGGATTACAGGCTTGAGCCACCGCGCCGGCCTGTTTTTTGGTTTTGTTTTTTGAGACAGGATCTCACTCTGTCACCCAGGCTGGAGTGCAGGGTCACAAACACGGCTCACTGCAGCCTCCACCTCCTCCCTGGGCTCGAGCAATCCTCCCACCTTAGCCTCCCAAGTAGCTGGGACTATGGCACACACCACCACAATCAGCTTCTTTTTTAAAAATAAAAATGTTATGTAGACGAGGTCTCACTATATTGCCCAGGTTGGTCTCAAACTCCTGGGCTCAAGCAAACATCCCGCCTCACACTCCCAAAGTGCGAGGATTACAGGTGTGACCCACCGTGCCTGGTTCAAATTAGACTTTTAAAAAATTAAGGTTCTGGACCAGGCATGGTGGCTCACACCTGTAATCCCAGCACTTTGGGAGGCTGAGGCAGGCGGATCACAAGGTCAGGAGTTCAAGACGAGCCTGGCCAATATGGTGAAACCCCGTCTCTACTGAAAACACAAAAATTAGCCGAGTGTGGTGGCAGGCGCCTGTAGTCCCAGCTACTTGGGAGGCTAAGGCAAGAGAATCGCTTGAACTTGGATGGTGGAGGTTGCAGTGAGCCGAGATCACGCCATTTTGCACACTCCAGCCTGGGCAACAAGAGCGAGATTCTGTCTCAAAAAAAGAAGAAAAAAAAAAAATTAAGGTTCCATCAAAAAAGAAGAACTAGGAGCACTAAACCCAAAGACATATGTAATTCCCTTCATTAACACCTGGAGAACACAGAGTCTTTACAAGCAGAGGTGAACTGCCTGCATATTAAACCACAATCAAAGATTCAGCAAAGATTTTATATAACGAATGTTATACAAATGCAATGAAGAAATTATAATAAAACCCAAAAGATTTAGAACTGGATTGTTACCACAAAAACACTATATAGCAAAACTTGATGCAAACAATATGGCAGTAGAGGCATCGTTACAGCCTAGACTGCATATACTTGAACAAGAGGAAGGAATGAAAGTAAGCCAAATATCAAGAAGTTAGAGGAAAAAAATAGAATTAAGCCTTTCTTAGTTCATTCAGGCTGTTATAACAAATACAGTAAACTGGGTAGTTCATAAATGCAGAGGTTTATTTCTTACAGTCCTGGAGGCTGGGAAGTCCCAGTTCAAGGCACTGGCAGATGCAATGTTGAGTAGGGTCCACTTTCTGGTTCATAGATGGCGCCCTCTCCTTGTATCCTCACGGGGTAGAAGGGACTAGCTGGCTCCCTGGGGTCTCCTTTATAAGGACACTAATCCCCATATCAAGAGCTCTGCCCTCAAACCTAATCACTTCCCAAAGACCTGACCTCCTAGGGGGTGATACAATTACCTTGAGGGTTAGGAGTTCAACATAGGAATTCTGGGGAGACACAAACATTCAGAATACAGCAAACCCTACAAAGAGGAAATAAAGAAATGAAAATAAAGAAATAGGCTGGGTGCAGTGACTCACAACTGTAATCTCAGCACTTTGGGAGGCTGAGGCGGGCAGATCAGGAGGTCAGGAGTTCGAGACCAGCCTGGCCAACATGGTAAAACCCCACCTCTACTAAAAATACAAAAATCAGCTGGGCATGGTGGCATGCATCTGTAATCTCAGCTACTTGGGAGGCCAAGACAGGAGAATCGCTTGAACCTGGGAGGCGGAGGTTGCAGTGAACCAAGATGGCGCCACTGCACTCCAGCCTGGGCGACAGAGCAAGACTCCGTCTCAAAAAAAAAAAAAAAGAAAAGAAAAAGAAAGAAATAATAGAAAGAAACCAAAGAGATTAAAATATGATTCCTTAAAAAGTTATAAAATAGGAACATCTCCAACAAAATTGATCAATAAAAGGGAAAGTGATGAACATACACACACACAACAATAAAACAGTATCTGGAATGAAAAGGTGACATAAAGATTTTGTCAGGCCTCTGAGCCCAAGCCAAGCCATCGCATCCCCTGTGACTTGCCCGTATATGCCCAGATTGCCTGAAGTAACTGAAGAATCACAAAAGAAGTGCAAATGCCCTGCCTCGCCTTAACTGATGACATTCCACCACAAAAGAAGTGAAAATGGCCGGTCTTTGCCTTAAGCGATGATATTATCTTGTGAAATTCCTTTTCCTGGCTCATCCTGGCTCAAAAAGCTCCCCCACTGAGCACCTTGTGACCCCCACTCCTGCCCGCCAGAGAACAACCCCCTTTGTAATTTTCCTTTACCTACCCAAATCCTATAAAACGGCCCCACCCTTATCTCCCTTCTGACTCTTTTTCGGACTCAGCCCGCCTGCACCCAGGTGATTAAAAAGCTTTATTGCTCACACAAAACCTGTTTGGTGGTCTCTTCACACAGACGCGCATGACAGATTTTATCTTTAGAAATCATAAAAAATTAATACAAACAACTTTATGTTAATAAATTTGAAAACAGAAAAAAAAAATGGACAAATTGGTAAAAGAGAAAAGAGAGGAAATGTTTCCCAACTATTTTGTATGTCTGCCTTTGAAATTTGGCCAGGTGTGATGCCTCACACCTGTAATCCTAGCACTTTGAAAAGCCAAGGTGGGAGGACTGTTTGAGCTCAGAAGTTTGAGAAAAGCCTGGAAATCATAGTGAGACCCTGTCTTTACAAAAAAAAAAAAAATTGGCCTGGTGTGGTGGTGCACACCTGTGGTCCCAGCTCCTTGATAGGCTGAGGTGGGAGGATCCCTTGAGCCTGAGAGGTCGAGGCTACAGTGAGCTATAATTGATTTGACTGCCCACCACACTCCAGCCTGGGCAACAGAGCAAGAAGACCTTGTCTCAAAAAAAAAAAAAAAAAGCTAAAAAAAAATTTCAAAGTAACAGGAAAAAAGGTGGTGAGACAACTCCAGATTAAAAGAAACAAAAGAGAAATAAACCTAATTGCACCATGTGAACCTTAACTAGATCCTGGTTCACAATTAAGAATAGCTATAAGAGACATTTGGGTGACAAAAGAAGGAGTGAATATGGATGGGGGTTGATATTATGAATTACCATTACTTTTTTAAGGTATGAGAACAGCAGTTATACAGAATGTTCCTAGTTCGATGATATATACTAAGTACTGAACAATGAAGTGTCATAACCTCTGCAATTTATCCCCAAATGGCTCATAAAATACACATGTACACAACACACACAGAGATGTGTAAAGCAATATGGCAAATTGCCAAGAATTATTGAATCCACTTGATCCATATATAAATGTTTGCTGTACTATTTATTCCATTTTTCTGGATTTGAAAATTTTTTATAACTGAAAGTTGGGGTGAGGGACCTGACCAAAAATATTCACCAATCAAAAAAAAAATCAGAAGTAAATGTCTACTTGGAGCAAATAATATCTTGGATACAAAAAGTGAACAAAGACAAATTGAAAATGAAAAATTGAATGACCCTCTTACTTACAAATGTAGGTACAAAAATCCTACGTGAAATATTTGCACGTGAATTCTGACAATATATTTTTAAATGCATATATAATGACTATATCATGAATGCAAAGATGGTTTGCCATTGCACGTTCTATGATGTAATCCATGATATCAACAAATTAAAGGAGTGAATTCACATAATCATCACAAGAAGT